TTTAAGTCGCCTAGTCATAATTGAGCAGAGAGCTTTTGTCGCGGGGGCGAGTTGGGGATGGGGGTGCTTATAGCCGCCTAGTCATATTTGAGAGAGAGAGCTTTTGTCGAGGGAGGGAGATTTTAGCCGCCTTGTCTGAGTGAGAGAGCTTTTGTTGTGATGGGGGGAGGGGGAGCGGCTTTAGCCGCCTAGTCATATTTGAGCAAGAGTGCATCGTTAAAGGGTTAGATACCGTAATATACGATTCTGTGGGTTTAGTCCCGTTATGGTTTCCTACAGAACCGTGTATCCCAGAATCGGGTCAGTAACTAACCCTGTAACTTTTAATATATTTTCTCAAAGATGAGATTGTAATTTTTGAACATCATCAATATGTGGAAAAAAAAAACGATAGTGTGCATTGCTGTTTGGCACGGCTCAAATATTTTGAACTACAAATCTAGTAATTGCAAATTTGAAATTGTCATAAATATCGCCTATAAGTTACATAGATAACGTGTAATAGAGTATATTATAACAAAATGAGTATATTATAACAAATTTTCTTTCGCGTAGGAAATGATGAAAAAGAAGTTCAATGTGTTCTATTGATAAAAACTAAAGCATATTTTAAAATATCGTAATGTACGCGTTTTGTTTGAATATCATAATGTAATTTTATAATTGAACAATGCAATTTTTTAATATAACAAAGCAAAAAGGTCATGGTGGCCTTATATCGCACACCTGCCTATAAAGGCTCAACATGACAAGGGTAGATAGCATTGAATATTACAAATAAAAAGGAAGTACATATACTTGGTCGGAATCTGGGTAACTGATATGAGTACTCAATTCTACGTCTGAAATGGTCATCAATATCCAAATATCTGTAAATGTCAAAGATATGGTAATTTAAGCAAAATTCAATAGTGACCTTGAGGTTGGGTCATTTCAAGGTCATTATTATAGTTGAACTATTCAAGATGTCCGTCCTGTCATAAATGTATGAATGACATCTGATCATTGATAACAAAGAAATGACAGTTTTATCACAATTCAATAATTTGACTTTAAAATATGTCTTTATTTTTATTATTCAAAGGCAAATAACTCTTTACATATTCAGTCGTATTAGCTCATAACTGAACTTGGTCGAGACCTTATTGTTATACATATTCTGTATAAAAATTTTGTAACAATGGAGAAGAAACGAAAGCACTTACAAGGCGAAATATAGTGCGTTTTGTTGTTGTTGTTGTTTTTTGTGTTTTTTTTTTGGTTAGATTTAGCCTATAATCTAACTTGGACGGACAGACAGAAAGGCGCATACTCAGGTGAGCAAAAATTAACACACAATAACACCTAATAATAACTGGTCAAAATTAACGAAAATTATATAAACTTTAAAATATGGACGTTATGCGGCAGGACCATGCCCTTTTGCCGCAAAATGTACGTCGATATGCGCCGCAAAACGTCCATATACGTACGTTTTGCGGTACGGACGTTTTGCGGTGTTACATCGCCGACTTCACAAAAATGATCAAATAAAAGAAGTTTCTCAAAATGATTTTTTTCTTTTTATATGTCCTTTAAATAACAAGAATTGTCTTTGGAACTTCATTAAATGCAGTTTTATTGTTGAAATAACATTTCTACAACATTAAATTTTTTGGCCGCCAGGCCGCCAACTTCACAAAAATGATAAAATCAAAAAGTTCTCTGAACAAGATCTTTTTCTTTTAATAAACCTTTAAATATCAATTCATAACATTTCTTCAACTATAAAATTTCCAACTGCCAAGTCGCTAGAGAAAAAAAAACCTTTCTTAATGTGATATAACTGTTAATGATAAGATATGTCTTTAAAAGTTAATTAAGAGTCGTTTTTCAATTCTTTTCCAAACTTTTACAACATTAAAATTTCAAGCCGCCAGGCCGCCAACTTCACAAAAATGATAGAAAAAAGAATCTCTCAAAGTGATTTTTTTTCCTTTTGATATACCTTTAAATATCAAAAATAGTCTTAAAAACTTCATTATGTCCCGATTTTATCATATTTATAACAATTCTACAACTGTAAAATTTCCGGCTTTTTAAATAAAAATCTTTCTCAAAGTAATTTTTTTTCCTTTTTATATATCCTTTACAGAACAGAACAGAACAGAACAGAAAATTTATTCAGTCTTATGCATATACAGCACATCGACATCAACCAATATATAAATACATTTGTGACACATATACATAACTTAAAATAACAAGGTTTGTCCTAAGAACATCATACATTGCCATTTTTATTGTTTTTATAACATTACAACCGTCAACTTTTAGGCCGCCCAGCGGCCGCCAACTTCACGCCGCTGGGCCGCTAGACCGCCAACTTCACGCCGCCAGGCCGCCAACTTCACACATCTCATTTTTGCTGGGGTTTACTTATCGAGACGGCAGAGAAAGGGAAAGCGATAGATATATGATATTTAGGTGCTCGTTCATTGGTTATTTTTTTCTGGGGTTTCAAATTGTGACAACAGGGAACGTGTGTTTATGTTTGACTATGATCACCTTGTATATCCAGTAACGCCGGAATGTGAAAATAACGCACCATTCGTGCAATAAGTAACGCAGAATTGTGCAATAAATGGCGGATACCTGACAGGATTTCCAACGCGGTAAGTAAACTGGCCAATATATTTTTTATTTAACCGAACTGAAAAAAAGGAATAGCCGCATACGGCTGCGAAGACATTACTCTTTATCCCTCATCAAGATTATTTCCACGAAATTGTTTACTTTTCAAGATCATTCGTGAAAATGATGGCTTGACCACCGTTTTGAGCGAGATTTTGGCTTTTTGACGGCTCCTATAAGTACAGCAATGTATATAATTTCGATTTTCGGTAGGCAAGTGACATTTACTAAATTTCTTGTGATATAGAAAATTGAAATAAGTTGATAAAATGTGATTCAAGTCGTTTTTATGAGGTAACGCTGATGTACGTGAATAGCGATTCACGGTAACGCCGAAAAATATGATTCTTTTTTTCATATATGGCACTGAACTGTTACACGGGTTTAACGCCTTTTATCGGCGAATTTAATCAAGTTATTTGCGACCTAGTCAATGTATTTTCTTCCATTGCAAATAAATTGAACATAAAAATAATAGAAAACAATCAAGAGAAGAAGTGTCTGTATATTTTATGCCTGAAATAATGCACCAGTAAAGCTTGAAAGTCTTCATATGTCCTTTAATTATTGTGTTGGCGTGATGTTAAACCGGATCAAAACAAATATTTGGCTGTAGCAATCTGCTTGGTGAACTTCTGTGAAAATGGATTACTAATTTAATTTATTTTTTGTGCCCCCGAAGAAAGGCATAATATAATTGCACCGTCTGTCTGTCCGTCTGTCCGTCCGTCTGTGCGTTCCCACTTCATTCGTGTCCGGACTGTAACTTTGACATTCATAGAGGGATTTTGAAATAACTTGGCACAAATGTCTACCACATCAAGACGATGTGTCGCGTTTAAGAATTACGTCTTTACCTCGTCCGTCTATCCGTCCGTCTGTGCGTCCCCACTTAATTCGTTTCCGGGTTGTAACTTTGTCATACATGGTGGGATTTTGAAATAACTTAGCACAAATGTCTAGCACATCAAGACGATGTGTCGCGTCTAAGAATTACGTCCCCACCTCGTCCGTTTGTGCGTCCGTCTGTGCGTCCCCACTTAATTGTTCGTCTGTGCGTCGCCAGTTAATTCGTGTCCGGACTGTAACTTTGTCATGCATTGAATGATTTTAAAATAACTAGGCATAAATGTCTTCCACATCAAGACGATGTGTCGCGTCCAAGAATTATGTCTCTACCTCAAGGATCAAGGTCACACTATCATTTCGAAGTTTCACTTTATCACAATTAGAGTTTATAGGTACACACATTCGTGTCCGGGCTGTAACTTTGTCATGCATAGAAGGATTTTAAAATAACTTGGCATAAATGTCTACCACATCAAGACGATATGTCGCAACAAAGACCCGTGTCGCTACCTTCAAGGTCAAGGTCACACTTATAGTTTGAAGGTACTCATTCTCTTGAGAAGAGTTTGAAGATACACATACATGTCCGGACTGTAACTTTGTCATGCTTTGAGGGATTTTGAAATAATTTGGCACACATGTCTATCTCATAACAACATTTTGTCGCGTCCAAGAACCACGTAATTTCTTCAAAGGTCAAGTTCACAGTTATATTTTGAAGGTTCATGCTATCAAGAACAATATTCATCAATTAGTTTCTTTCATTCTCTTTTCTTTTCATAATACCTGCATGCTTAAGATACCTTTAGGGGGCATTCGTCACTTGGGTGACAGCTCTTGTTCTCTTATATAAGGAAGTCACTTATGTTCAAAAGATATCTTACTTAGATACATGTACTATAATACCCAAAACTTGTAAAAGCATTACCTTACTGTTCTCTGCTAAAGTTAAATAAATTATAACCGTTGGGGTAAAGATTTACCCTACTTTCTTATTATATGTTAACTTGTATGGGAAAAACATACGAATCTACCGTAATCTACCGTTATGTTAGGCATTACTATAGATTTTTACAAAACTTACAGGACTAATGTCCGTTAAAGAGGCCACCAGTACAGAGCCAGGTCACATCCATACGAGTGACCATTTGCTCACTCAGGTAATACATTTGTTCAAATGCATTAAATATCTAATACCAATCGCTCAGTCTTTGAATGAACTGTTCCAAGTAAACAGCTGAGCAAAACCATTTCATAAATTTACCAGGTTAAGGTTTGAATAGTAAACAATTTCGTGGAAATAATCTTGATGAGGGATAATGAGTAATGTCTTCGCAGCCGTATGCGGCTGTTTGATTAAATAAAAAATATATTGGCCAGTTTACTCGGGGGGGGGGGGGGGGTGCTACGCCCCCTCGTAAAATCAGATAGCCTCGTGTTTCGATGCTCTTTCTAATACTTAAATTGTTTCATTTTCAGCAAGTGATAGAAAGGGAAACATGGGGTCACAAATTAGACTTTATACTTTCATGTATTGGTTATGCAGTCGGATTGGGTAACATTTGGCGGTTTCCCTATCTGTGCTATAGAAATGGAGGAGGTAAGCATATATTTATTTATCTATTTATTTATTTATTCATTAGTCCCCTACAGGTTAACCGGAGGGGACTTTAGGTTCACCCTCCGTCCGTTTGTCTGTCTGTCCGTCCATTCGTCCGTCCGAAATAAAAAACATTGGGCTTGAAACTTCATAGGATGATAGATCTCATTGAGAAGAAGTGCAGTGCACAAGATCTGGTACTCTGCACGTTATTGGCATTTGTTTATTTTCATACGGAGCATAACTCAGTCGCTATGGGATTGACTCCAAACTTGGTATGCATGCCTCTTTCAATGACCTGAAGTGTAGTGCACAAGAATCGTTACACTGCACTTCTTATTTTTTAGTTATTTATTGCTCTTAGTTATTAATTTTTTCAAGCTTTTTTCGTCCGAGCCCTTTCTCCTAAACTATAAGAGCTATGGACTTGAAACTTCATAGGATGATCTCAATGAGAAAAGTGCAATGCACAAGAACCGGTAGTCTGTACTTCATATTTTTGAGTTCTTGCCTTTTTTTAATTTTCATACTTTATTTTTGCCTGGAGCATAACTCAGTTACTATTGGTCGGATTGACTCCAAACTTGGTTCACATGGTTCTTACAATGACTTGAAGTGCGGTGCTTAAAAAGCATTACTCTGCAAACCTTATTTTTTTAGTTATTGTTCTTTGTTAATTTTCATGCTTTAGTTTTTTCGGGCCATTTTCCTAAACTATAAAAGCTATGGACTTGAAACTTCATAGGATAATAGATCTTATTGAGAAGAAGTGCAGTGCACAAGAACCAGTACTTTGTACTTTATTTATGTCCGGGCCACTTCCCGCTCAAGCCCATCACATGGCTATAGGAGGTAAACATACACATGGCCGCTGTTGTAAATACTACAGTTTACTTTATGGAGAATGAAGGATTAAGGCCCTGTCACACTAAACTGCGCTTTCACTGCGTTTGCACGGCGTTGTTAAATTTAACAAAGCGCCACGAGATCGCAATAAAAATGTGATATTTTTGATGACATGGAGACTTCACGGCGCCCTTGCGGCGATTATGGCGATACTACGGAGCTTCCGCGGCGTTTTAATTGGCGATTATTTGCGTTCAGACTGCGCTTCTACTGCAGTTTTTGCGTTTCCACTGCGCATTTACTGCGCTGACATGGCGGTCCCGGGGGTTATTGATTTTCTTTATATGTATATAGTGAACACTTAAAAATAGTTCTTGTAAAAAGTTGAAAGAGCTACAGCTTAGATATTTGTCATTAAACATCTATGGTGGACGCTACCAAGTTTGTTCAAATGAAAGCCCTAGGGTGAAAATTGGCCCCGCCCCAGGGGTCTTTGATTTTCCTTATATGTATAAAGTGAAAACTTAAAGAAATCTTGCAAAAAACTAAAAAGCTTAGATATTTGGCATGAAACATCTTCTAGTAGATGTCTAACAAGTGTGTTCAAATAAAAGCCCTAGGGTGAAAATTGGTCCCGCCCCGGCGGGGTCATTGATTTTACTTATATGTATATAGTGAATACCTTAAAAGTTTTCTTGTAAATAACTGAAAGAGCTTTTGGTCAAAAGGTTGTTTTATTGATTTCTAGGTCAAGTTCGAATATTGGTCATCTTGGGTCGGAAACTAGGTCACACAGCCCAGATATGGAAAACCATTGCTTACACTTTAGAGACTACTGTTTATAGTCAAATATCCTGGAAATTGGTCAGAATTATTGTTATGAAGATTTCCAGGTCAAGTTTGAATATGGGTCACTTGTGTTTAGAAACCAGGTCACGCAGCCCTTATATGGAAAAACCTTGCTTACACCTTAGAGGCTACTGTTGTAATCCAAATAACCTGAAAATTGGCCAGAAAAGTTGTTTTGGTGATTTCTAGGTCAAGTTTAAATATGGGTCATCTGTGGTAAAAAACTAGGTCACACAGCCAAAATAAAATAGGATTGAGCCTTCATAATCAGGTGCGCGATATATGGGCCATCATGACCCTCTTGTTTAAATAAATTTTCTTCTTTGTGACTATAATTGGTATCTTTTTTAAAGCTTTAGATAATTGTTCTTTGTTACACTCACATCATGTATGACAATGTTCATAAGTCTAGCAGCTTTATTTCAGGAATTATCTCCTCTTTCGTTTAAGAATTTTGCTGTTAAAATGTTATATTCTGGTAACAACCAGGGCATTTTTTTAAAGATTTACCTCAGAGTGTCTTTCAGTCCGTCTGTCTGTCAATTCCTAAAAACTGTTTCCTGAGAAAGAACTTTGAACTTTTCCAACAAATTTACTTATAATAGAGAAAAGTTGAAACATTAGTTATACATATTCATCCTGAGAACATTGGATCTTTTGTTTGTGTGTTGTATAAACATAATTTCCATTACTAGGCATGAAAACTTAACACACTACTATGATACAGACAAACTGAAATTGATTCATGTCATTCGTTCATTTGCATAATTGAATGGCCAAAATGGCCCCCTATTAAACAAAAGAAAATAACAAAAGTAAAATCCCCTTATTCCATTTCGGCCGGACGTCTTCTAGAGAGTGTCTACCAAGTTTGTTCAAATAAAAGCCCTGGAGTCAAAATTAGCCCCGCCACGGGTGGTCAATTTTCATATATGTTTATAGTAAAAACTATATAAAACATATATGTTTATAGTAAAATTTTCTTTTAAAAAACCCAAAAGAGCTAGAGATTAGATATTTAGCATAATAGGTGTTTGCCAGATTTGTTGAAATTGGCCCGCCCTAGGGGGTCTTTGATTTTCCATATATTCAAATAGAAAAAAATGGAAAATAAACCCAAAGAGCTAGAGGTTAGATATTTAGCATGAAACATCTATGAATGGGTGTGTTCCAAGTTTGTTCAAATAAAAGCCCTAGGGTTAAAACTGGCCCCTACACTGGGAGTGTTTGATTTTCCTTTTCTGTAAAAAGTCTGTTTTAAAAAACCCAATGAGCTAGAGCTTAGATATCTAGCATGAAACATCTTCTAATGAGTGTCTACCAAGTTTGTTCAAATAAAAGCCCTTGGGGCCAAAATTGTCCCCGCCCCGGGGGGCCATTGATTTTCTTAATATGTACATATCTTTTGTGAACTGTCTCTTTCCCTTAGCTATAGCAACCAGTAAATGTTTTTACACATGTACTATTTTAGATAAAAATATGAACTTGGTGATAAACAGTTTAAGATTTAGATTTTATATCTGCATTTAAAATATTACTTGTTCCTTGCCATGTAGTGTTTTTATATTCAGGTGAGCGATTTCAGGGCCATTATGGCCTTCTTGTTAACTTTAGAATTTCTTTATGTGAGTTTTTTTTTATTAAAAATATTGTGAACAATTGTTCAAGTATTCAATTGCTTTACAGGGGCGTTTCTGGTTCCATATGCAATAATGTTGGTGATAGCCGGTGGGCCAATCTTTTTCTTTGAGCTCTCCCTGGGACAATTCGCATCCGAAGGACCAATCACAGTGTGGAAAATAAACCCAATCTTCAGTGGTAAAGTAGTCTTATATTGCAATAATAGCTTTTTTCTATATTTTAATTAGCATTGTCAAACTTTATAGGGATCCTTTCAAGTAAAGCACTAAGGCCTGTATTCAGAATGGATACTTTCACTCAGTGAGTAAATCCCATATAATTGCCTAACTGTCAAGATAATCCTCACCTTTCAGTAAAGTGGTATTCAGGTTATAAAGTAAGTGTCCTCAATAAAATAATACTGAATACCACTTACGTTTTACACTAAGATTTTTAATAATTAATTCTTTAACAAAATTTGTCCACTTCGGTGAAATACACTCTCTTAAACGACATGGTTACACTGTTACAATGTATATCGAGTGATCTTATGAAGTCTCTCTCACGAAAGGTAAGGTATAGCAAAACATCGCTCAATATACATTGTAAAAGTGTAACCAGGTAGTTTAAAAGAGTGTGCTTCACCGAAGTGGATTTTTTTTTAAAAAAAAAAAACGATTTTAAAAATATGTTCGATAAAACAAAAGCATGAGGAGAAATTTAAAGAGAACTTAATAGTTTTCAATCAGTTAATGCCAGAATAGCAAAATAATCTTGAAAAACCTGAAAAACAGGACGAAAAAAAGAAGCTAAAGAAAGTAATGAAAGAACTGAAGCATTTAGAAATATTTGTTTTATTTCAATAGCGTAAACTATATTTTGAAAATAGCATCAATTTTTTATGTCAATGATTTGTTTTGCAATACTTAATTTTGTTTGCTTTCTTAATCATTTTATGACATTTTTAAAGGCCCATTATGCCTCAGAAATCCTATCATTTTTGTTCTCAACATTTCAAGTTTTACAAACATGTTGCGTAATCATTTTGTATGGAAGTCAAAATACTACATTGTTTACATTTTTCTTCCATCATAAGACATTGCTGTACGTTAAGTGCAACTTTAAACAGTTTTTAATTATTTTTCTAAAGAATTAAAATAGAAAGAGGCATAACGTGCCCTTAACAATACTGTTTTATTTAAATCTTTGTCGTTGGTATTTGCAAATATAGAATCTTAAAATTTCTAAATCAAATTGAATGATTTTGTACATAATACCCCCCAAAAACAAAACCAAAAACAAACAAACAAACAAACAAAACAACCTTGTTTTATTGTGATGCTGGAATACCTGTAAAACATTATACAGCTGTTATTAAAGTTACAAACTTGATCTTAGTAAAGTGTATTGTACATAAATCATATTGTTTTGCTAGATGGATTTGGATTTTTTTAAATGAAAATATTCTGACGTCATCAACGTTAACTTTATGTCGTGATTATTTATGACGCCGTAAGAATTTTTCCTTTGAAATATCTTTAAATATATGGATTGGGAATTCTATGTCATTCCAAAAATTCAAAAAGCGTGATATAACTTGTATCTAACCGTTATTTTTAATATTTCATAAACAAAACAATAGAAACTTATAACTAAACGGCATTTATTTAAAACATAAATATATTACATAGGCCTATATTTAGACGCATACGACAAATCGTCCGAGGTTTGAGTCCAGAATCATGGACAGTCACATTGACAATCACAGGACAAGCTGTTTTATGGATAAAACGAAATTCAAAACATTTCCAACTTGAAATCGTATAAATTCATTTCTTTTAGGCATAAAACTGGTATTCCGTGAGCTGAATCCACTCCTGATACTTCATACTACTTGTATCATTCGGGGTAAAAAATGTGCACACTCCTTTGAAAATCAAAATTTCTGATAAAATTCAACTTCTGACAGAAATTTAATAGGATCATCTCTATCACTAATATCTGTTTTTCAACATTTATTTCCTCTAAAAATACTGCCAGTTCGCGTATATGATGCACTTCAATGTATATGCGACGAACTTAATTCAAAGTCAATACTCAAAACTAAGTGGTATTCAGTATTATTTTATTGAGGACACCTCAAGGTAGCCCCCTCCTAATCTCAAAGATTCTCAACGTTCCTGAGTTTACTCAACACTTACTTTATAATCTGATTACCACTTTACTGAAAGGTTAGGACTGTCTTGACAGTTAGGCAACTATATGGGATTTACTCAATGAGTGTGAGTGTAAGTATCGATTCTGAATACAGGCCTAATAGGTGCACAATTTATATAGATATTGTCGTGTAACTCGAAGATCTCTATTCGACGCATTGCACCGAATAGTGCTCTATAATTGTACGAGGAGCTGTATTTAGAATAACTGTTACTTTTTGTCGGATAGAGGCCCTTACTTATCTGATACTAAGTAAAGTTCATTATGTTAGTTCAGCTGAGCGCAAAGTGTTCATGGCAAGCTTTTGTGATCTCAATTTGTCTGGCGTCGATCATCCGTTCTTAGCTCACCTGTCACAAATGCCTACGCCACATTACAAGCGGGGACCGGCCGGTATAGAGGGATCGATGGGACACCGTTGATAATTTGAGAATGGAGAGAAACATTTCAATCATGTCCGGATAGAAGTTGGTGGTCATTCTCCGTCTGTGGTCAATTAGGCATTCGGACGGTTTCCGAAGGGTACTCGCCCGGTCACCCGGTGAAAACCCTTGTCATCTTCTTTCCTGACACCGGTCGATATTCTTAAGGTAATCGACAGACTACCGTACGATAAATGTCCAATTGCCTTCCGTTATCTGGCCTATTTGCAACAATCGTACGGTGACGGTAAAGTATACGTGCGATATCCGGTCGGCTGTCGGACGGTATTCGTATGGCATGCTATCCCATTTTCCGGCCGTTATTCACACCCCTTCTTTTGTTGGCATTTTTCCTTGCCTTCTTCCCCTCTGATTTCTTCCCCACCCCTTCTTTGCTTTCTGTTTTGGAAGGTACATTACACTCTGAAATCAAAGTTTTCCATAAAAGATTGTAAATGAAACTTGAAAAGTTTAAGAAACCTCTGACGTGTGTGAAAACTGAAAAAAAATGTGTGTGTACTTGGGTTTCTTAATACTCGCCATCGGTTGCCCGTATATGCGAGATCTCCAGAAGAGTATTAGTCGTTTTGGATTTTTGAGGACAGCGCAAGATACAGATAGCAAGATGTCCCAATTTCAGAAAAAAATATGAAAAACACACAGTAGAAGCGCATTGCATAAGATAGATAAATACAGAATCCCTAAAGAAAGCCTAACACGGCAAAATTGAAAATGTTGCAGGCTCGGTTTGATTAAAAAAATATGAAAAACACACAGTAGAAGCGCATTGCATAAGAGCCTTACCTTGGAGTAATTTCTACACTTTGAACTTTGGCCGGGACATAACTCTGAAACCATCAGATATATCAACAAGAAACGACATCTCTGTGTCCAAAACCTATTGGGGTGTATGACCAGTTTGGCTCTTGTTTCAAATAATGTCTCCATTAGGTCAGACTTTATAAAAATCTTTGGATGTTCCTAGATGAAGCTGTAATAAAATTGCTCAAATGATTCTGCTCCATTCTGTTCCAATCTAGGTCAGAAGAGTTAAAAATAGATTTTAAAAATTAAATCTTGAAAATCTTCGTCCCTAAAAGTTCAAGGCCTAGACCTTTGAAATTTTGTTTGCAGGCCAAATAATTTGAACAATCTATGAAGAAATGATGATAATGATGATGATGATACATAAATTGTTCAAATTTTAGCGCTAGGACTATCCGGGTGTCATGGATTTTTCTTAAATTTCTTATATTTAAAATTAAGTAAATATTTAAAAATAGTCTTCTGCCTGAAAACTTCAAGGGCTAAATCTGAGATATTTAACATGGAACATTGTCTAGCGGACCTCTACAGAAATTGTTCAAATTATAGCTCTTATGTTAAAATTTGCCCCCCCCCCACCTTACGGGGCTTCCATATATGCTTAAGATTAAAATTTAAAATATATTTTTCTCTAAAACAATTGAGGTAAAAGCTAAGATATTGGTATTAAACATTGTCTAGTAGACCTCTACCAAGTTTGTTCAAATGATAGCACTACGGTCTTAATTGGCCCAACTCCGGGCGGTCATGGGTTTTCATTTTATGTATCAATCAGTGACTTTCATTGCAACTATGGACTTTTAATTGCAACCAATGACTTCCAAAGCTATCATTGACTTTCTATAGCAACCAGTGACTTCCATAGCAAACAATGCCGTACGATTCAGTGACTTCCATAGCAGACTTTTCATAACAACCAGTAACCTACCATAGCAGCCAGTGACTTCCATATAAAACACCGACTTCTTATTGCTACAAGTGACATTCAAAGCAGCCCTTTGTTTTCTTAAGCATCCAGTTATTTCCTTAGCAACCAGTGACTTTTCATAGCAATCGGTGACTTCCAAAGCAGTCATTGACTTTCCATAGCCTCCTGACTTCCATAGCAACCGATGCCATTCCATCCATGTAATTAATGACTGTCTATAGCAACAGTTTACTTCACCTAGCAACCATTGAATTTCCGTAGCTAATATTGTCTTTATATAGCAACCAGTGACTTCAATAACAACAATTGACTAAGTCTAGAGTTCCCTCCCCTTTTACAATGTACTAAGTTTCCGTAATAAATCTAGACAGGGAACCAGACTACCATTGACTTTACATTACAACCATTGATTTTCCATAGCAACTAGTGACTTCGAAAGCAATCATTGACTTCCAAGAGTAAATATTGACTTCCATCGCAACCAGTGACATATATATCAGCCACTAATTTTCCACAGCAAGCAGTGTCTTTGATAGCAATCATCGACTTAATAATAACAATTGACTTTCAATCGCAACCAGTGACCTCCATGGCAACCACTGACTTTGCATAGCAAACACTGAATACTTCAGTCAGGTGAACGATAAAGTGCACATCATGGCCCTTTTGTTTATAATAATGACAAATTTATCGTATAAAAACTTGACTGTAAGGCATAAGTTTCGGTAAGTCATAAGTTTCGATACAACAGATTTTCTGTTCGTTTTCCAACAAATGTCCTTCTGTCCGTTCGTCCGTTTACTGTA